CAGTGGACGGATTGGGAAGGTTGTGCTTTTTTCGGGTCTTGATGGTAAAGGACACTAGAAAACTTCGGTAGAATTTCTCCAACCTTGTACTCGATTGCTCTCATACTAGACACTTTTTCTCTGTCCTTGCCCTTTAGTTCACCGCACTGGCGCCAGTCGTTGTAAAAAGATCGCCCGTATGGGATTCGTACGTACATGCGACCGGTCAAGCGTCTCATTATATTATACATGCACGTGTTTGGGCGCAATATAGCCTTCGTTCGTTGCCTTGATATGGCGACACGCCCTTGCCGGAGAGATCTGTCACTAAGACGGTTGCTTTTGGATCTGTTCTGTCGCCATGTGACACGACGACGAGCTTGGGGTGTCGAGCACGAGTGGGCGGAGTCGCGCGTGAAAGTATAAAGTCAGGTCTTTTGTAGCATACCTATTATCCTCATTATGGGGGAGAACGAGTTGTGCGCGTCACCCACGGGAGGCTGTACCGCCATGATACTCAATCATTCCCGTTGGTCATACAGAGCGGTTCGACTCGCTGTTCTCTTCGATTGCTATTCTTTTTCTTGAATGATTCCCTGGTTTGCTTGATAGCTCATTCCCCTCATCCTGAATTTCCTGATGAGGTTGTTTCCTCTGGTATTTTTCTTTTATTTTTGTTCCCCCTTCGAAGATGGAGTACTGGGCAGGAGGCTGTTATGTCTTTTGTCTTTCCTAACAGTCCTTTCAGCAAGGCGTCCTCACTCTGTCGTGCCAGTACTTGCATTTTCCCCTTCCAATGCATCCAATATCGCGGCCATTCTTTCAATGGGCCTTTCTTGGCTATGTTTCTCCTCCACCTCTTCGCTAGCACTTCTCGGTATGGTTCCCTCCAAGCCTTGAAGTTCGATACTTTCTTTTTGCTCAAAATAAATTAAATCAGATAGATCTCCACTTACGGCTTTGGACGAACTCTGTCACGAGAATCTAGTTGACGCTGTTGATATCTTCTTATCTCTGATAAATGACCTTTATGGGCTATTATTTCAGGAAAAATCGCCTTCTTAAGAGTCTGAAAGGGTCTGAACAATTTATGACTACCCGATCAAAAGTCTGAATAGTACTTTCTTCATCGAGGGTCCTTTGACCTGCTGGGTAGCTCCCATATCAGCAGCAGTTGCTGCCTCCAGGAAGGAAGCCCATCAGTTACTAAGTTCTCGTGCCCCACCCAAGGCCTATCCATCACGGGTTAGTTAGTGCCAGGCTTTTTACTTGGGTAATTGATGACTTTGGTTTAGAGACCAGTCTGCTCCCAGGTATTGACCTATAGTCCGGGCACTTTCATTCCTGTTCCTCTTAAATGGAGTTTGGGTGCCTGGGGGATTCCTGAATGACAGCCCTTCTGGATGACTTAACTCATTCCTTTTGCCTCGGTAAGTGAGATTTTTCTCCCCCCACCTCGGGTGGCAAAACTCGTTCCAGATATTCCCGCCTTGCCTACTTTTGAGTCAATATTCCGTCAGTTTCTAACTCTGACTAGGTCTATTCCAACACTGTCTCCTCTATTTGGCCCCGCTGTCTGCTTTATTTGCCCGAAATTCGGTCTTTTCGCTCTGATTAGAGCACTCGATTACGGTAATCAAGAGTCGTTGTCCTCTCCTTTTTGGGTTCGTTCTCAGTCCTCATCTCGATAACCCTTTAATTTTCAGATTATGAAACTCGCCACGTCACTGACAAATATGCTTGGAGAGTTCGTCGCCATTCAAAAGACCCCCGAGTTCAAGCCGTGTTCCGCGTCGATGCAGGAGTTGAACAGGGCGATCAAGGAGGAGAAAAAGGACTACACGTTGAAGGTTGGTGAAATTCCGAGCATAGAGAGTTTTGTCAGGGACATTTTTATCGCGAATTCCGCGGGGTCATCTGTCACATTCCGTCTCCCTCGGTCGCTCTCAGCGCCAGACATTCATGGTCATAAGGAGCGCATGTGATACACGTTTAGTTTCACCTCAAAACATAGCCTGACCGCAAAGTGCCATCGCTTTTCTATTTCGGTCCACTTCTGCGATCAGAGTAGGCCCCAGACACACGTTTGGGAGTGTTTTGTGGTGCCAGGATCATGTGACAGGGCCAAATTGACCGTGATTCATCCCCAAAAAAATGTGTAAATCATCCCGTGAGCGGCATCCCATATTTATTTGAGTGCAGATTGAGTACTTTTGGGCAACCCAAGCGTAGAACCGGTTCCTGGAAGTCGCTGCTGCTTCATTAGCTTTCTACTGAACTGGTTTTCTGAATGGGTAAAAATGGCTGGATATGGGGCAGTTTCTTTCGTAAATTGGACTGTCTAAAAGGATAAGTGTGGCACATGTCAACGAGTTGCTTGTTGTTCTGGGCAGCTGTCCATTTTGCTTAAGGGTGATAGGCTCTGGCGCTTTCCTGAAGATGCAAAAGAAGTGGTGTGGGGAAATGAAGGCTGAATCGCTAAGGATTGGGAAACCTCATCGATAATGGGTGCCTAAACTTGGGCAGGGATGGCGTAGTGAAAGAGATATTGACCATAGCCTTATGGTCCATGGGATCAAATCCTCACACTGCCAGCCAACCCCCTCCTCCCTCCTCTCGCAGTGGGAGTTCAGTATGGGACTTGTGGTACCCGAGAGAAGGTGGGCACTTCGGATGACCCGGAAAAATAGTCTTCTGGCTAGAAGGTTCACGGACGTTGACCCTGCTCTCATTGAACTGCGTATGGCAGTTTCCTTTGGTATTTGTATTTATAGGTTCATGCTTAGGGGAAAGGTTAAAGCATAAGTATTGATCATCCCCTCTAACGAATGTGTCCTGCTTCCTTCAGATTCGTAGTGCCATTTGGGCTATAGGTTCATTTGCGGGGTCAGCCGATGTACTGGCCAGCCCGAGCCTCCTTTTCATTCTCCTAGACAAACCTAATAACAATCAACCGATCACGGAGAAATAGAAGATTTGGTTGGCCTGGCAAAATTAGACCCCAGATTTCACTCTCAGTCTGGGCACGAGCTAAGCGGCGCCACTTTGTACTACATCATCCTCTTGAATCAAATTGAATATTACAGTCAAAAATCCCCTTGATTTTTAAGTTTTCAGCATCCATCGTCCGTCCGTATCCGTCCACGTCCACGATTCAATTCTGTAGGATGTATGCCACAGGAGGTTAGCTCAAGTCCATGTGGAAGAGTGACAATGCGACCCACGAGTGGAAAACGAAGAGATCGACCATCCAGCCTTGTGGAGCGGATCATGCAACGAATCAGTCCAGCCAGAGAAACCGAGGTCAGTTCTTTGACGCATTCTTGGA